TCTCTTTTTTACAAATCAGACTATTTTAAACTAATACATCATGAGTACTTCGAACAGATAATTTATATATGTTATTGCTATTGGTTCTCACGAGCCCGGCTTTTATCCATGTTGGTAATGATGTTGAAACAGGGTTTCAAAATATTGAAAACAGCCATTTGCTTTTCCATCAGAGGGTACCTCTGTTTTCCTCAATACCAAGTGCTTAAGAGTAAGAAAAGTGGTGTCTATGGTTATTACACTGTTGTTGATATTTTAACTTCTTTTTGAGTTTTAACAGTTGAGGAATATTTGGGCCGGCTTTTATGGACATAATAGATGGGTTTACTTATACTTATCTCCTATATAGTATTACATTTACATCTTATTATTTACTTGCTCTTCCATTGTCCTTCACAGACGCGAGGAGTCATGGTGGATTTCACCGGGATATGACCCTGCCAGGGATCAATTGAATGGATGCATGTGTGAGAGAAGTTCAGACGGTTTAAGGGGAGTCTGTTATCGGCAACCGATGTGCATTTCACCTCGAGCAAGAGGAGACTCAAAGATTCTCAGGCTGTGATGAGCCCCCCCAGAATGGTGCCCCAACCTCTCCACAAGAGTGTTAGGAAGTCCTGCGATATGGTTGTGTTACAAATGTTAATGATAAGGAGGAATGATATTTTAATTTTCTATAGATTAATTATAAGTATGTAATGTTAGCTTTTAATATGTTAAATGTAGCTTTGTGTGTTTTGAATCCTGATGGAGCATCTATTGATAAGAAGTTCTCCTTTGTTATATCTTTATCAGGATTTAAATGGCCCATATCAGACGAGGTGAATTTGCTTAGCAAGCCAGGCATAAGCTGAGCGGATTTGGGCGTGCGCCATGAAAAATGAGTACCTAAATATATAATACTCGAAATTGATAATTTAAGTTTTACATAATGTAGTTTGAAGATAAATGTTACGTGGACAGATTTCATAGATTCACAATCCTCTTTTATCTCAACCAATTTCCCGTCTTAAGTGATTTCCTTTTGCCGGTCAAATGGAGAAAAAGGTTATGTAGTCACTCCATAGTTGGAAAGGCTGACTGTATGTTTGAGTGATGCTCCTACTCAATATATAAATTTAAAAAAAAGTATTGATTGAGCAATTCTATATAAATTTTTAAGTGAAGCTATAGAAAACGATTCAAATGAAGATCTATGCGTGGTTGTTCATTAAAATGCGTCATGTGCAATTAGGGCCCCCCCTGACAGCTAATTATGTATTTGTCAAACGTTTTTTAAAACGGGGGGAAGCCGCCGGTCTTAACGGTTGACCGGACCCGAGCCGGCCGGCCGTTCGGTTGGGTCTGGCGAAACCGGATTATCATCGGCCGGATTTGAACCGGTCGCGGCGTTGGACCGCGAACCCGGCGAACGAACCGCGAGCGACCGGCCATCTCTGATTCAACCGTCTGTTCATGCATCGTTTACAACTTTAAAGTTAAAGTAAACTTAAAAAAGTAAACATTTACCTAACCTAATTTCGTTTCTTACTCCGTAATCCAGCCGCCCCGTCTCGTATTTTCCTTTCGTCTGATCGCATGAGCTCCTTCTTCAGCGTTGTCGCCAGAGTCGCCAGTCGCGGTCGCTGCAGTCTCTCGCCGTTCGTCGTTTGCCAGCTCCTTCTCCGTGATTGGATTGTTGCGATGCCAACCCCGGGTTATCACGCATATCGATCCTCATCGTCGACTGTGTCTGCTTGAACTTGTTAGTGAGTGAGTTTATTGCTGAACTGTGTTTTATCATTTTACTCTATGTGGCACTGAGAATTGAAACGAGAAAATGGCGAGTTTTTCATCGGGATTGTTGAATTAAACTGCCGAATTTTCAGCTGATCGAGGGCGGTAGCACGCAGGCGTTGATTGAGGTTGGTACTGAAGCGAGATTTTGGGGAGAGAATAAGAGAGGTTTTAGCTTAGGGACAGAGTTAAATTTGTAAGGTTTGCTTTGTGGAAGTGCAATGCAGAGAATATTATTTAAATATTGTTCCCACTTTCTAGTTAGCTAAGTGCTAAATTGTTGATGAGTGGTCTTCGTCGATCTATCAGATACTTGTTATTTGTGAGGGTATGTGAAGTTGGTCATTTTTACTTGACCTTTAGTACGTATTCAAAGTGTTTAGGTTTGATTTTTTTTTTGTTTTGTTATATGTGGAAGTTGGAATGCAATATTTTCCCTAAGCGCTGAGTTCTATTAAATCTCCCAACTATTGATTTGTTCTACCTTTGGAACATTTTGATAGGAGACTTGATTGCTTTATTTTGGTGGGTTTCACTTTGTGGTAATTGTTGTTTCAATTTTACTATTTGGTCATTTTTAGTCTTTTTAGTGAACCCTGATTGTGTCTTAATTGATAGAAACTTATAAACCATAATAAATACTATTAATAAAAAAATACCTAGATTTGAATAGTTTTATCGTCCCGCTGGCTAGTTTTTATATTTAGTTATCGTGCTGGTTGTGATTGAACAACACTTTTTTTTGCAGGATATCTTAGATTGCTTTCATATGTTCATTTGCTTCTTCTATCTTTAATAATTCACATGATGTTATTCATTTTATTGCATATTCTAGGATTGAAATATACAATATGGATATGTTAACTTTTGTATCCACGTTTTGAAAATGAGGAAATTCTCATGTTGCAGATTCATTCACTAATTAGATGGTATTTCCTCCCCAGGTTAGATGGTTTCAATTTCTATGTGTTTGTTGATATATAGTGTTGTTATTTACTGGTTTTTTTCGCTTATTGTCATTGTGTTTAATATCCAATCGATCAAAAAGATCAGCATTCACTCCAAAGCGTTCGTGGAAGTAGATATGCTTTGGAGCTTTGTGAGTGTTAAACACTGACGTAAGAAGCAATGTAATGTCTTCATTGTGGATATTTATAGGGAGAGGCCTTATATGTGACACACTCTGCGGGGATTAAGGGAACATTGCTTCTTGTAAGAGGTGCAACTCGACATACATTATCAGAACATTTGAATGGTTCAAGAATAAACACAGCAACAAGACTTGGCGATTGATGTTTCTTGGTGAATCAGTTGAGAGAGAGGGCTCATGTTCGTCACGAACACTAAAGTTCAGTAATGGGGTAAGTATTGATGGAAGAAATTGGATGAATTGTATATTTTTCTGCACAAAGACAATACCGGATCTAACCCTTCCTTAAAGTGTGAGATGAGATCAGGAGCAGTTGCATGTGCGATTTAGCATTGCAGATGGTTTTTGTATTGCATTCCTTCAATGCGATCAAATACTTTTGCAAAAGCTATAGATGGTGCTGCAATGACCTGTATACATCGTCTTCCACAGATTAAGAGTGATCGGTTACGGCATGCGAAAAGGAATGTAAATTGCTAATTGATACTAATATGAACTCTGGAAAAGACCTGGTGTTATTGATGCAGCTGACGGGTGGACGTACAAAGATAATGGCATATCAATTTTTTTATTGTCTCGGGAGTTTCATTTTTAATCAGTAGATGCATCTGATGTCATTAAGACTGCACACATTTGCTTTATTTAGTGATATGTGGAATGGGTGTGTCCGGAGTATAGTTTCTTTACTCGTTACAGATATGCTGCAAATTATAGAACCTGTGCTATTATTCCATGAAATATGAAATTTATTTGGTCGCTGTGCAGTCATTGCATTAATCCATTTGAAGTTGAGCAGCCTATAATTACAGAAATAGTAGAAAGCTTCAATAGTTACATTTTATTTATACCTGCTTTTATATTGCCTTGGGTTAAAAGTAAGAAAGGTGGACTGAATTGTAGCCGGTACGATTGCACAAGCCAATTATTACCGTAAGAGTATCCATGATCATACATGATTTCAAACATTATCACACAAGGCTTCATGTTCAACTGAGTAAGACATGACAGGGAAGGAGCACTCATTTTTGGATGCAAATTTTGGAATGCAGCGTTCATAATTTCTTATTATCAGGGCCCATCAGATTTAAGAATTGTGTGCGATGAAAGGCATTTTTGGATACCTTTTGAGTATGGTCAGTAGAAAAGCATGAGAAATAAAATTGGATGGGGAAAAGGAGGGGAGTGGTCGGCGGCTAGGAAGATGAGGGGGCCGGCGGTTGTGGTCTTGGCCAGTGGCAAAGGGTTTGGGGCAATTGGGCCGTGGGGGCTTTGGGGAAAGAGGAGGGGTCGTTGGCTTGTGGTGGAAAATTTGTGGAGCTTGATATGGATGTTTGGCCCGTGAGGTTGATGGAGGAAGAAAATGAAAACGACGACGGGGAGAGATAAGAAGGAAGAAATCAAAACGAAAGATAGAACGAAAGATAGAAGGTAAACGAAAGAGAGAAAATAAGAACCGCGAGCCTTGGACTCTTCCGAAGACTGACGGGTGATGCTTTGCCCTTCTCCAAGGGACTTCACGTCACGAGCCCGGACCCATCCTGCGGCTGGTGAAAACCTCTACGATTCCTCCCATAGGAATCTCACTAACGCTCTCTCACAAGAACACAAGTGTGGACACAAATTTTTAATATCCATTAACCATCCTCTTACAATAGCTTAAGGCCCTTATTTATAGGCCCCAATATGAGAAAAATCGAAATTACAAAATTGCCCCTTAGGCCACCACACTCAAATAAACTAACATAGGGGTAGAACAGGAAATAACATAAAATAAAAGCTAAACTTCATAAAATAAATCATAAATGACAACGTAAATTAGAGCCGTCGATTTACGACGCCTCCGGTGATAGATGCGCCAAATCTTCGTGCCGATGTCCGCATCACATTATTAATCAAGACCATAAATGAAAAAAAAAAAACACGTATTCAACAAACTTCATGAATGACTAAGAAAATGGATTAAAATTAACTTGGATCCCATCCCATTGACAACTGTATGTTTACATGCACACGCATGGTTCAGAATAGAAAGTATAAGTGAACTATGCTTTAGAATTGTCTGTGTAGAACATACCTTTGCACTCAAAAGACGCCTGTTGTCCTGCTTAACCATCTCCATCAAAGCTGTTTCCAGTTCCTCTGCTCTGAAGTGTATTGCACAGTAAAAAAACATAAACAACAGTTAATCTGACAGTTTCAACGAACCTGAATTCAGATAAAAATTGGGAACAGCATTTTTTAAGAACAAGCTCTAGTACTCTAGTGTTAAGCTGGTGGTTTTACCCCAACAGGTCTAGGAATTGAAAAATGGAAATGTACTCAAGATGGTTAATAAACCCAAGGTTTATCTCAAAAAAATAAAAAATAGAGTTAGAGAAAGAGAGAGAAAGGTTTATGATTCATACTATGCAAAATTAATAAGGCTACATATATTTAAGGGGCAGCACACACCAACATTACATGTTTTTCTGCTTGGTTCATATCATGATCATTCAACTTTTTGAAATTCCTCCTAAAGGCTTCTCCCTCTGGATCTCAAAAAGGTTGCCCAGTATAGGCCCCTTGGGTACTAAGAAAGTGGTGGTCATCCTGTATTCCGCCTCTAGCTCCCCTCTCCTCGTACTTCTAATCCTCCACCATCAAAGGTAGCTCCACAGCCTATCCCAAGTCTCGAGGCCTCATGACTCTCACTGCTACTCGGATCTCTGATTTGAGCCCCTTCATGAAATTCCCCTACAAAATAGTCTCAGACAGCCAATCCAATCAACTCACCTAGTACTCAAATCTATCGCGGTACTCTGCCACCGAGCCTTCCTATACTAGGGCAAAGAATTGCTCATAGAAGTCCCCTCCCCTACTGGTTCAAAAACATTCCAATAAGAATTATTTGCACTCCCTCCAACTCCGTATGGATTGCTTCATGTCTCTCCACTAGTAACAAGTCAACACCTTTCCTTCTAAACATACGCCATCTGCCATCAATTTCTCCTTTTCCATCAACCCATTGACGACGAAATATCTCTCTACCTTGTAAATCCACCACTGTGCATCGTCTCACTCAAATATCGGCATCTTCAGCTTCCTAACCTTCGAATCCATCCATTTCCCCTAATTCCTTCATAGTTTCCCCTTCCCCAAGTGGGTTGGTCCCCAAGTGGGGTGGGCCCCCCCCCCCCCAAGTGTCTCGATCCTCCCTTCCACATTCATAACCAAACACTTCTTCAAATTCCCCCCTCCTTTCTTGAAAAACACCACCTCTCTGGCCATAATCCCCCTCCCTTCTTTCCTAATCATTACCCCTTCGCTCATACCCCGCATGTCCACACCTCTCTCCATATCTTCGACCTCTCTCGTCCCTTTGGATAGGTTCTAGATGGAGTCTTCTCCCTTCTTCCTCTATGATTATACATCATTTTCATCCCTATGAATTTCAGAATTAGTATTTTTCCCTTCCAGCCGTTTCGCCTCCAATGTCGCCGTTTGGTTGTGGGGAACCAACACCTTTTTCATCATCTCATGTGGGCCAGAGAATTATTCTTCCATGGAGGAAATTTTGTTCTCCACTGTTGTTTTGATTTGGTTCATCTCCCCCTCAAGACGTTCTTCCAACGCATCCACCTTCTTGGCTGGCATTAATACCCGGATATTTGTTAGACTACCCCCCCCCCCCCCCCCCCCAAACTGACCAAAACGGCCTAAAAACATAGTAGCTTTGATACCTATTTGATAGGAAATAGTGAAACATAAAACATTTGCAAAAATCAAAATTTTAGAAATCTTGCCAAGCAAGTTTTGAGGATTTAATAGAGGAAAAACAAAAAAAACACTCTTGATTGAATATTAGATGAAAGAAAATAGCAAAATACAATTAATCATTAATTCGAGAGGAGGATCTATCTCTCCCAAATCTCTAGACGTTGCTAGAGCCCAAGAACACCAAGGAAATACAATTTCAGCAATAATCAAGATAACCCTAACCCTAATCCAAACCTACTACATAAAGCACACAAATTAAACTCCCGCAAAACTAAACAATCCTTCTAAATTAAAAATTCCTCCTAATCCCCCCCCTCTCTCTCTCTCTCTACTTAAGCAGGTTGTCAAAAAATTGAATGGCAAAGGTTATACAAGCATGGAAAATTTAATTTTTTTAATTAACTTCGTAATCTTCTAATATAATATTTGTTAACTGAACTTTATGAGGGGTATTTGTAGTTGTATTAAAATCCTTCTAAATGATTTTGGGATTACTTGTTCCTATATCTGCTATTTGGATAGCCCATTTGGAACATTCAACTATCTTGTTATGTTCATTAATATAAACTGTTTAGTTGATAAGCAGCAAATATAAGCAGGTACAAATGCTAAAGAACCTCAAGGCTTTTCAAGCGAGCCCGCCAAGCTTTTGCTGAGATGGCTTTTATGGAATTCCTCTATGTTTCCTATGGTGATGACACAGCTTGCATGTGATACAAGCATAAAAATTTTCTACACAATTTCTAGCTATGGACGGATCTTCCACGGCTGACTTTCTTATTATAAATCTATTTGAAAATGCAATGGAGTGATTTTTGTAAACTTTTTTATTCAAAAATATTATCCCTTATTTGGGTTTGTTCAATGAACTAATGCACTCTATGAAAATGCAATGGAGCTATAATGTTGTATTAATCATACGTATATTTTATGAAATTTTGTAAAATTTTTGTATTTTTTTTTTCCTTTATTACAATTTTTTTCAATAGTCAATAAATGGCTTAGCTCTTATTTTCCCCACAAAAGAGGCTTGGAGTTTGGAGCTATCTACTTAATGCCAAACTAAAATTTGTTACATAATATTGAGAATTTGAAACTAGCTTACAATAAAAATTTCATAAAAATGTCTTCTATTCGAGCATGCACTCGAGCCGAGCTAGAGTAGGTTATTTGAGCTCAAACTAACGAGCTAAGTTCGAGCCAGATGTTCGGACACACAAGTCGAGTTTTGGGTTCGAGTCAAATTCGAGCCGCCTAAAAATTTTGCAAGCCTAGTTCGAATTTGCTATGGCTCGACCTCGACTCAACTCTTTTATGCCCCTACTACCCATACCTTCCACATATCTCCTCCATAGGAATGGGCTCCAGAGGAAGTCTTCTCTCTTCTCCCTTCAAGATATTAACCCCTTGTTCTTCCCATCTCCTTATCGAATTAGGGTTTTCTTAAATCCCTTTCTCGGCAGCTTCCTTCGCCTCAGACAATGCTGTTTTCGTTTGGCCCTCGAGCAACTTCATCATCTCCTCCATGATGGCAAATTTCCCATTGATCTTCTCATGGACGGCTGAAATTTAAGCATAGAAATCTAAAATTTTAGATTTCAATTGTCTGTATCTCCCATTCCAACACTTAAGTACACAGAATTATGCTCTGATACCAATTTGATAGGAAGTGTATGTACTTTCACCATCAGTGAGCGAAAACACAAAAATTGGGAAGAGGAATGCCCAAAAATAATTTTTATAGAAAGAACCATGAAGAGAAATACAAGATACAATTGGATCTTCAATTGAAGAGGAAGATCTGACTCTCTCAAATCCTAGCCACCAGCTAGAGCCCTTTCAACCTAGGTAAACTTCAAACAGCAAACAATACATCCCACTAATTGTAAAAAACAACATTCTTAAAGCATACAATAATCCATAACAAAATCCCAAAACAGTCCATCTCTTTTCCCTCCTAGAACCCCTCCCCCCATCGATCTTCATCATCTCCTCTATGATGACAAATTTCCCATCAATCTTCTCGTGGACGGCTAAAATTTGAGCATGAAAATCTAAAATTTTAGATTTCAATAGTCCGATCTCCCCTTCCAACACTTGTACCATTTTTCCCATCATAGGTACCAGGAATTATACTCTGATACCAATTTGATATGAAGTGTATGCACTTTCAGTAAAACCAATGGATGAAAACACAAAAATTGGGAAGAGGAATGCCCAAAAATAATTTTTATTGAAAAAACTATGAAGAGAAATGCAAAATACAATTGGATCTTCAATTGGAGAGGAAGATCTAGCTCTCCCAAATCCCTAGCCGCCAACTAGAGCCCTTTCAACCTAGATAAACTTCAAAAAATAGCAAACAAGACATCCCCTAACCCTAAGAAAATAACCTCCCTAAAGCATACAATAATCCATAACAAAATCTCAAAACAGTCCCTCCCTTTCCCTCCTAGTAGGATGTTTTTATCTGCTTGCTTTGAGTTGTGCATGTGCAATGAGTTGAAATGGTACAATAGCGTATGATGTTTGAAAATAGCGTATTATATATATACTAGGGTTGTGGACATTAGCCTCTCCTTAATCTTCTGATTGACGAGAGAAGTATGCAATCAATATGCCCTCATCACTACAACGATATTTTATCATGTTTGTTTTGAGTTGTGCATCAGAAGCGAGTTATAATAGCATGGGCATCCTCACTTTTCAAACAGAATTATGAAAGACTGAATACCAGTTCTGACACTAACCAATATGAATGAGTCATTTAAATTTCATAATTTCATAATTTATAGATTTAAGTCAGAAACAATTGTTTTATTTCCACAAGGTATAATCCTCTGCTCTCACCTCTAGCCTTAGATGATTCAAGGTCTCAATGCCCGGGTAGTCAATTTCAACAAGCGGAAATGGCTGGCATTGTAGCATGGCATGCATACATATAATAAACAAACCAATTGATCATGAATGCAAAAAAAGATGCAAGTAGCATCCATCCATCCATTTTATGATGCCCCGATATGAACACGAGTATGCATACACATGAAATTATTCTTTAAATTCTAACGTTATAGGGATGTTAGGCATGAAATTTAACAATTCAAAATTAAAAACGAATAAAAGTTTCCCTTAACTTTCATAAATATTATATGTCATCGAAAATGAAAAAGAAATGGCAATTGACCTATGAAAACATATAAAAGGAAACAAGTGAGTTGAGGGTCTATTGCATAGGCCTGTGGAGTTTGCAAGCCATATCCAGGCGCTCATGTGAAGTGGAAGCGGTTGAAGAAAATAAAAATAAGGCAAGACCAATGATCAATTTGAGTATTTAAACTATGCCATTCAAGAATATGCATATCGGACATGTCGACGCATGTGTCCTATGCTTTTTTTTTTAATTTATTTATTGGAGATATGAATGGTGTGTTGGACACATGGTGTGTTGGAGACATGCAACGCCTGGAATATTTCAACACCACAGTATTTTATAAGAAAGTGCCAGTGCAGTGCATCATAATCCATATATATATATATATATGGATTATGATGCACTGCACTGGCACTTTCTTATGAAATACTAACAGTATAAAGCAATAGACTTGACCAACCTGAGAGATGCAGATCTTTTATCCTCCAATAATCTCGACAGCTCAGCCTGCAGCCCCGTTACCTAGTAAAAAATTCTCCTATTAAATTTAGTAAAAAACAAAACATTAACAATCATAGCTAGGCATGTCAAATTTATAACATCGGTCAAAAATGGTTTTAAAATGTTGTGAAGCATGTCAACGGACATAAATTGTATAAAATGTAAGGCTATAATACATCAATAGCTTCTATTAATGAAACTTATCTACAGATGTTGCCCGTTGTATTACATTATGGTACTGATAGATCTTTTACATCTCTCTTTTAACAAAGTCATGAACTATTTTTTAATACTAATCACATCTGAGTACTACGAACAAGACTAATTTAATAATATAGTTATTGCTATTGGTCTCAACGAGAGCCATCGTAGCTTTATATCCAATGTTGGTAAAATTGATGTTGAAACAGGGTTTCAAAATATTGAAAAGCAAAGCAATGTGCTGCTTTTTCACATCAAGTGAGTACACATTCTTGTTTTCCCTCAACATACCCAAGTGCGATTAAAAGTAAGGAAAAGTGGGTGTCTATGGATAATTAACCACATGTTTGTCTGATATTACACCGTACTCTTTTGTAGTTTTAACAAGTTGAGGAATATTTGAGGACGGCTTTCTCACTGGACATTAAAATAAATGAGGATTTACATACATAACACTTAATCATCCTATATAGTTATTTAACATTTACATCTTATTATTTACATGCTCAATTCCATTAACATTGTCCTCTCACAGACGACGAGGGAGTCATGGTAGGATTTCACGGTGGGATATGACGGCAAAAGGCATCAATTGAATGGAGGCATGTGTGAAGAGAAAGTCAAGACGAGATCTTAAGGGGAAGTCTGTCTACGGGATCAACGACTGTGCAATTCCAAAACCCTCGAAGACAAGAGGAAGACTCAAAAAGATCTCATTCACAGGCTGCTGATGAGACCAGCAACATGTGCACCCATAACCCTCATCGACAAAGAAGTGTTTAAGGAAGTCATGACGATAATGGATATTGTTTACAAAATGTTAATGATAAGGGCAAGGAAAATGATATTTTTAATTTTACATATAGAATTAAGTGATACGTAAGTAAATAGTAAGGTTCGACCTTTAAATATGTAAATAAGATAGCTTTGTGTGCTTTTATGTAAATCCCCTGAAATTGAGTAATCATATTTGATAAGGAAGCTTCTCCTTTGTTTATATCCTTTAATCAAGGATTTAAAAGGCGATATCAAGAATCGAGGTGATTTGCCTTAGCAAGCCAAGGCATAAGCCTCGAGGCGGATTGAGGCGTAAGCCCCAAAATGAAAAAATTGAAGTACTAAAAATATATAAATAACTCATAAAATGATAAAATATTAAGTAAATTACAAACATAATGACTAGTTTGAAGATAAATGTTACTGGAACACAAGATTCAAATAAATACTCACAAAAATCACTCTTTTATCCATCAACTCAAATTTAGCCCGTCTAAGTGAATTTAACCTTTGCCCGAGCACAATGGAGAAAAAGGATTCATGTAGTCCACTCCAAATAGTGGGATAAAGGCATGATGTTGTTGTTGTAAGTGATGCCTCCATACAATTCAATCATATAAATTTAAAAAAAAAAAAGATTTTGATATGAAGCAATTCAATAATATAAATTTTTAAAAAGTGAAAGCTATAGAAAATACGATTCAAATGAAAAAGATCTATGCGTGGTGAAATTCATTAAAAAATGCGTCATTGCAATTAAAGAGCCCTGACAGCTAAAAATTATGTATTTGTCAACGTTTTTAAAACCGGGCCGGACCGGCCGGTTCAACCGGTTGAACCGGCACCCGACCCCCCCCCCCCCCCCCACCCCCCCGCCCCCCCCCCCGTTCAACACCGGTTGAACCGGCACCCGGCCGGCCGGCCGGTTCGGTTGCTGGCGAAACCGGATTATCATCGGACCGGATTTAACCGGTCTGACGGCGGTCGGGACCGCGAACCCGGCGAACCGGAACCGGAGCGAACCGGCCATCTCTGAGTTCAACCGTCTGATTCAATCATACGGTTTAAACTTTAAAAGTAAAAGTAAACTTAAAACAGTAAAACATTTACCTAAACCTAAATTCATTTCTACTCCGTAACTCCGAAGCCGCCCCCGTCTCCGATTTTTCCTTCGTCTGATCGCCTGCAGCTCCTTTCAGCCGTTCGTCGCCGTCGCCATCGCCGTCGCTGCAGCTCCTCTTCGCCGTTCGTCGTTGCAGCTCCTCTCCGTGCTTGGTTGTTGACGAACTGGCCAACCCGGTTAATCACGCGTGCCAATCCTCATCGTCGCCTGTGTCGTGCTGAACATTGTTAGGTGAGGGAGATTGTATATGCTGAACTTGTGTTTACACTTTACTCTACCTGTGCAAACTGAGAACTGAAAACCGAAAAAATGGAGTTTTTATCGGGCTGTGAATTAAGCTCCGGACATCTTGCTCCTGCGATCCAGGGCGGAGCACGCAGGCGTATGATTGAGGTTGGGTACTGAAAAGCGAGATTTTGGGGAAGAAAGAAAAAGAGAAGGATTTTAGCTTAGGAGATCAGAGTGAAATTGTAAGGTTTGCTTCTGTGGAAGTGCAAACTGCGAGAATATTAAAATACTCTTCCCACTTTCTAGTTAGCATAAGATGCAAAATGGTATGAGATGGGTCTTGCTCGCATCTATCAGATACTTGTTAAATTTGTGTGAGGGTCATGAAGATTAGGGTCAATTACTTGAACCGTTAGAACATAACTCATTACACAAGTTTAGAATTAGGTTTGATTTTTTGTTGTTTTGTATATTAGTGAAAGTTGGAATGCAACTAATTTTTCCCTAATAAAGCAGCTGATTTCTAATTAAATCTCCAAAGCTATTGATATGTTTACCTTGTGGAACAATTTGAAACCTAGGAAGACCTTGATTGCTTTAATTTGGTGGGTTTCAACACAAATATTTGTGTGAACTGTGTAAGCTTGTGTTCAAATTTTACTAGATTATAGGTCATTTAGTCTCATCAATACTGTAACCCTAGATGATGTACAATAATGACCTAGAACTTAAAAAAAACCATAATAAATACATATTAAAAAAAAATAAACCTAGATTTGAAAACTAGTTTTTAATCGTCGCTGGCTAGTTTTTATCATTTAGTTAATCGTCGCTGGCTTGTGATTGAACAACAACCAACTTTCCTTTTTGCAAGGAGATCATCTTAAGATTGGTCTTTCTCAAATATGTCATCAATTTGCTCTCCTTCCTATCCTATAGAATTCAACAAAACATTGTGATTATATCATTATATGCCATATTCCTAGGATAGAAATATACAATATGGAAGTATTTAACCATATTTCCGTATCCACGTTTATGAAATGAAGGAAGAATTCTTCATGTTGCAAGCAGTTATTCACCTAATCTTAAGATGGATTTCCGTCTCCCCAGTATGAATGGTTGTCATTTTCTATGTGTTTAGTTTGATAATATATTGTTGTTAATATTAACAACATAGAGTATTTTTTCAGGCTAATATGATCCATTGTTGTTTAATACTACCAAACTGATCAACAAAAAATCAATCGCCATTCAACTCAAAGCGTTCGTGAGAAGTAGATATCGCTTGGAAACCTTTGCTGAGTGTAAAAACCATGACGGTAAGAAGCAATATAAATGTCTTCATTGTGGATATTTATAAGGGAGAGGCATTCATAGGATAAGCAACATCTAGCGGGGATTAAAGGGAACATTGCTTCTTGTAAGAAGTGCCACATGACATACGATATCAATGCAACAAAATTTGAATGAGATATCAAAGAAAAAACAACAAGACAACAAGACTTGTCGCAGATTGATGATTTACTTGGTGAGATCCAGTTGAAGAAGAGAGGGCTCATGTTCAGTCACGAAACCACAAAAGTTCAGATATACATGGTAAAGGATATGGATAAGGAAAGAGAAAATGATGAAATTGGATAATTTTTTGCACAAAGAACAAAAACCGGGATCTAACCTTCCTTAAAAAGTGTGGATGGCATCTAAGGAGCAGTGCATCGTGCAGATTTAGCAATTGCAGATGGTTTTATGATATTTGCATTCCATCAATGCATCAAACTCACCTTTTGCACAAAAGGCTATAGAGCAGTGGTGTGCATAGGACCTGTATACAAATACCGTCTACCACAGATTAAGAGTGATCATGTACGGGATGCGAAAGAGGAATGTTAAATTGCTAATTGAACTTATAGAAAAACATGGAAAGACACTGGTTGTTCATTGATGCAGCTGACGGTGGACAGATACAAGAAATAGGACATTAATAAATTCTTGTTTATTGTCCTCGAGGAGTTTCATTTTTAAAATCAGTAGATGCATCTGATGTCATAAGATGCACAACATTGCTCATTATTACTGATATGTTGATGGGTTGGTCCGGAGAATATAGTTCGTTTCATTTATAACAGATATGCAGCAAATTATAAGAACTGGTGAGTTATTGCATGAAAAAATATGAAATATCTATTGGTCACTTAGCAGTCATTGCATTAATCCCATTCTGAAGATTGGAGCATGCCTTAATTACAGATAACTAGTTAGGAAAGCTTCAAAGGTTACATTTTATTTATAAACCATGCTTTTATATTGGCCTGGTTAGAAAAGGAAAGGTGGACTGAAAATGTAAGGCCAGAGTAACTAGATTTGCGAGCACATTCATATACCTTAAGAAGTATCCATGATTCATTAAACACTGAATTTGCAAGCATTCTATCACCAACAAGGCTTACATGATTCAAAAGCTAAGTAGACAATTGAAGGAGGAAGAGGCCAGCCTTCAATAATTTTGGATGCAAAATTGGAATGACAGCTTCACTAATTTCTAAACGATTATCAGGGCCCCTAATCAGTTCGCTTAAGAATGTTGTATTGCAGATGAAAGCCATTCTTGGATACCTTTATGACTCGTATGTCAAAGAGCTAGAAAAGCAATGAAGACTATGTTTAGAAATAATAAAAGAATGTACAAGAGCCTTTCACTAGTATCATCAGAAGAAGATGGGATAATCAACTAAGCACAAGGGATACATTCAGCAGCCTTATTTCTGAACCCTCATTTCAGTATGATTAGAGAAAAAATTATGCAACAAATCTGGAGTTATTTGCCAAGCCGTCTAGTAGAATTTGTGGCAATAAAGATGTTTGTCCAAAATCAACTTTGCATTTTGAATGAGGTGAGCATTTTTTCGTGATGTTTAGGAAGTTTCCGCGTAAAGCCCATCTGCATCAACATGAGCAAAAGAAATGCAACCAGGTAAGATGACAAATTTTTGAGATTTCATTTTTAATATATATTTGAACAGATTAATGTATGTTTGTTAATTATAGATGAATGGTGAGAATGGATCGCTTCTAGTGCACCAAAACTTACAGAAAATAGGCCTATTAGATTCTTAGCTTCAGACATCATCTTCATCAGTTGAGAGGAACTGAGGTGTTTGAGCAGCACCTCCATACAAAAAAGAAGGATCATCTTGAGCACCAAAGGCTAAATGACTTGTCTATGTCGTATACAATCCTCAATTAAGAAATAGGTACTATTTGAAACTTTCTTTAAATATTTTTTTTAAATAATGATGCACATTTTTATATTATTTTTTTATAATAATAATGTAGGTTGCCAGTTTAGAAAAAGAAGTTATGTCCTTTGGACTACTGCAAGTTTGAAACTTTGTTGATTTCTGGATCCTTGAGGATGAACCAACTCCATAATTGCATTGAAGACTTGGCAGTCAGAAATTTACAAAGTTGATGCAATTCTATAAATATAGGAACCAAACTTACTTCATCTACACCAATTCCCAAGCTAAGTATTGTTGATTAATTATATCACTTGACGTATAATAATTAAATATAGCTTATATTCATATTTAATAATTTGCAGATGAAAGACAACATATAGCTAATATTTATGGATGAAAGAATGAACATAGCCTTGGTGAGACAGGAATGCAGAAGTATTTGGGATGCAAGGATTTTGTCGCTGAGAAGATTTGAGAAAATCCATCATTCGATCAACAAAAATTTAGGACAAGATGATTATTAACCATACCTAAATTTGATTGTTTTGCGTTTAATATGGAAACTGAATATAAACTGGATTATCTTTTATTGTCTTCATATAGTATTAAGTCCTACTTTTATATATTATGGAATTTTTGACGTTTGTACTACATAAAGTGCTTAATAATTTTGCTTAAAGTACGTCACTGCAGGCTCCTTGTTGGGAGTTTCGGATTTTGATTTTAGATAGTTTTTTTTTTTTAATTTCTTGTAACCATAACTTAATTCCACTTCACAGTTTGATAAAGGATTCTTTAGGCGGGCAACTCATTGCTCAGAACCGTGGAAGCTGCCAGAAAAACAGAAATTTAAGGAAAAAAACAAAATAACGGTAATCAGTGAACATGGTCATGTAACCTTTCATTTGCAATATTTATCTTAACTGTTTATGCTCAATAATTTTGTAAACTCACAAGTGCTATTGAAGTCATCAAATCAATTTACTGACCATTTTTTCTCTTATCACGACCAGATAACATATACCTTGACAACATGTAATTAAGGAAATACAATGGATAATTGCTGTATTGGAGATATTCTGAAGGTGTTTGGGACAGATTTGACGAAAGGTGGAAATTTTTCATTATGATCAAAAGGTTGCAAGGGAAATTCAAACATCGTCAATTACAATTGTGCTCTAATAAAAAGGAATATGTGTTTAACTTGTTTGCTTTATGTTTTAATAAACTTCGTATGATGCCATATTTATCATTATCTTGATTAGTTTGACATGAAATGAAATGACATTAAGGAAGTCATTATCAATTTTTAATATTAGTTATATTTATTACCTCATCCGATTCGACCCGGTCGACCCCGGTTCAACCAAGTCGAAACCGGCCTTCAAACCATGAACCTCCTACCTTCTTCCGGTCCGTTGTCCGGTCCGGTTTTCA